CCTCTAATCTACTGTTGATTCCTTCTACTGTATTCATTTCAGTTACTGTATTCATTTCTGACTGGTTCTTTATGCTTTCTATGTCTTTTTTATGTTTACTATCTCCTTGTTTACATTTTCACTTAGATCATCTACTCTTCCTCTAAGTTCATTGAGCATCCTTATAGCCAGTGTTTCAAATTCAGTATCTGGTAGGTTGCTTGTCTCCATTTCTTTTAGTTCTTTTTCTGGAGTTTTTTCCTGTTCTTTCATTTGGGAAATTTTTGCTCATTTTGGCTGCCTCTCTGTTTGTTTGCATGTATTTGTATTAGGTAGATCTGTTATGTCTCCCAGTCTTGGCCTGGTGGCCTTATGTGGTAGGTGCCCTGTGTGGCCCAGTGGCACAGTCTCCCTGGTCACCTGTACCTGGTGTTCCAGGAGTGTTTCTTGTGTGGGTCATGAGTGCCCTCCTATTGTAGTTGAGCCTTGATTGCTGTGAGATTGATTAAGGCTGACTGGCTGTGAGGATTGGCCACACCCATAGTATATGATCTGCTATGTGTGGGCTGACCTCACGGAGAGGGATTCATCCCGGTGGGTTTATGTGCCTATTGAGACCACCCTTTCAGTGTGCCGCTTGTGGGATTAATCAGGTGGTGCTCTGTTGAGGTCTGATGCCAGCCTCTGGGCGAGTTGGTTCTGGGGCTCCTTGGGAAGGGCTCCCATGCAGGCCAAGGTCAGCTACTGCCTGTGACTGGCCTGGAGCTACCTAGTAGGAAGTGCAAAGCTATCTGCAGTTGTTCGCTGTCTGTGCTGGACCTGGAGGGAAAGGCCACACAGAGAACCAAGGCTGAGTGCCCCAAGTACTGGGCCTGGAGCAGCTCAGAAAAAAGCCCAGGGCACCGCAAGACCTGAGGCTACCTGCCCGTTAGGCTCAGCAGCTGACAGAGCCTTGAGGAGTATACGAGTTGGATGAGGTGTGGTCCCAGGGAGTCCCCAGGGTGGGGTGTGAGTCATGTTCCCCGGGTTAGTGCAGAGTCATATTTGGTGCCAGTGCCATGCCTGTGGCCACTCAAAAGTCTCATATCACACTGAGGCCAGCTGCTGCTTGCTTCTGGCCCACAGACCCCCAAGATTTGTCCAAGGAATACTGCAGCTCAGGCAGGGGGTGGTTGCCTGCCACCAAGAGTTTCTCTGGAAGCGCGTGACCCGAGGCCTGCTGACTGCTGCTGAAGGAGCCTTCTGCCAAGGACACAGGGTCTGGTTTCTCAGCCATGAAAATGCCTCAGGCAATGCACAAGTTGTGTGGGGCAGGGTCTCACAGAGTTGCCAGGGTGGAGTAAGCAGAGTTCACCAGGTCAATGCAGATTCAGATTTGGCTGTGTGGGGAGAGAGCTCAACATCGACAAGATGGTGCCCACCTAGGCTGCATGAGAAGAGGGCTCAACACAGGGATAGTGGAAGCTGTCCCTCCAGCCCTCACCATGAAGCCACACAATTCAGTCTTTTTCTGTATGTCTCTGGCACCTCCCAAACTGCTGTCCCTAGACTGGAGCCCAGGTGAGTGTCTGTGAATGAATGAGTCTGTATGCAGGCCTTTTAAGAGAATGTCTGGGTTTTCAGCAGCCTTCTGTCTCATCCGGATGGTCAAAGTCTCTGCTGATTTTCACAGTCAGATTTTATGGAGACTCCTCTTCCTGGTACTGGAATCCTAGTCTGGGGCCCCTCACTCCTCTGGGGAGACCTCCACAGCTGAGATATCTCTCCCTATGCTCAGTCACCCCATACATGTGCAGGGCCAGCCCATTTGGCATCAACCCCTCCTATCAGTCTCAATATGGCCTCTTCTTTATATCTTTAGTTATAGGAATTCTGTTCAGCTAGTCTTCAGATGGTTCTCCAGGCTGACTGTTCTATAATTAACTGTAACTTTTATGTGGTCATGGGTGGAAGCAAGCCCAGCATTTACCTACTCCACAATCTTGACTGGAACTTTCTTCCCATTTTCCAAGCTGGAACCCTGCTGGTCACTCATCTCCTTGGGATTACTTGGGCATTCCACTCTGAGGCAGAGGCTCTCAGAGCTGGTATAAGAGGTTTAGTAATCCAACCCTCACCCAGTGCTCAAAACATCAACTTGCCATATGTCACCTGGTCGAACACCTCTACAGACAGAGAACTCCTTACTTCAAAGTCAGCCTAAGCTCTTTTTGGACAGCTCTGACTATTGGAAAGTTCTTTCAGAGAGTAAACTAAAATCAATCTCTCTGTAGTTTTCACCCACTGATCTGACTCCCATCTCCTATGGTCACAGAATAATAGTGACAGATGTTGTCCATCAAGTAGTTGAAAAGCAGCCCTGCTCCATTATTTCTTCCCAAGGCTAAAAACTTTTCTTCCCGTTTTTCTGCAGGCTTTGAGACACCTTTCCATCCAGGTTATTCTGTGCGATCTATATTTATCTCTATTCTTCTCAGACCAGAAAGAACCCACCAAAGTAGAATTTCCATTCTGGAAAAAATACCATAGTTCTAGGGAAATGACCCAATTTTTTGGCAGAAACAACACAGGGGTCACTCACCTATTTCATTACCTGCTAAAACTCTGTAGTCTCTCACACTTACTGGTAAGGCACTTCTTCCCCTCCCACAGCTGCATAGTTGGTTTCTAGACCATGAGTCATACCTTGTATCCATCCCCATTAGATTTCAACCTCTTCAATGTGACCTATTGATCTAATCTTTTGCAGCTGGTTGTGTCTGTCAACAGTCACTTTCTCCTCTGGCTTTGAGCCATCTACAGTTTTGTTAGTATGTCTTGCATATCCAAATTCAACATCCAGTTCATCCAAGTCATTGATAAAAACCTGGAACAACTCCAAAAGAGCATCCTCCAGAGCCAGTCATCAGGACCTATCCTGTCACCTCAGCAGCCACCACTTCCTTTCCATCTGTTCTGTACTATGGCAATTTAAATGATCATTTCCAACATTTTCTTTTTTTTTTTTTTTTTTGCCTGTCATTCTAACTTACCATCCTCTTCTCATTTTTCTATCAGAGAGCAAGTAGAATTTGGGTCAAAACAAATTTAAACATGTACACATGTGATGAATAATAAATGTTAAAAAGTACTAACTTGGTTCTAAAACAGTCTATGTAAGACTTAATTTTTAGAATTTGAATATCTACATAGATATGTAATGGATTCTTCTAAGTTTAGCATGAATTACTCTCTCCAATGTACCTTGCTTGAAAGTTATTCATTGTAACCATGAACATTATTCACCATTCTATCACACATTGCTGCTAAAGATCCTTCCTTCTGTAGCAAAATACTCCAAGTCATTGGTCATTCAAATCCCCAGGCCTGAGATTGACTAATCAGATTATGCATACTACCTCAGCAGACTGAGGCCAGACTTTGATACAGTGAAAACCCCAGAATAATGCTACAGATGTTCTGGACACTGAATTGCCAAGGAGGCTGTATGGGCAGTAAAGAGGGGTTTAGAGGTAAAGTCCATTCTTTAGCTCTATGGCCTTAGGAAATTTATGTAACCTCCAGGCTTCGGTATATCCTTTGTAAATTAAAAATATTACCTGCTTCACAGGGTGGATAGCAGGACAGTAAATAAATTTAATAAGATGATAAATGAGTCAGGACTATAGTAGTATTAAAAAAATGTTGGTTTCTCTTTAATTCACAGATATGTGTGACATTAATAATGTTGTCCTGCTCAGAGTTAATCTGCGATGAATAAGAGTTAATACAAATGTGAGAATGAGAGGGACTGCATCATGTACATGCACATATGTGTGTCATTAAAAATAATTGTATTGCTAAAAGAAATCTAAAAGACCTATTTGAATTTATTGAATATTAATATTTTTAAAAGCCTGCCTCAAATTTTCATTTTTAAACATCTCTAATATTTCAATCTTAGGGGACCTAATAAATATATTTTGGACTAATATTTTAATACCTTGCTACTCAAAATGTGTATCAAGGATTAGGACCATAGGTATCCCCAAGGAGCTTGTTAGAAATGCATCAAAAATCTACACTTTAACAAGGCCCTCAGCTAATTTGTAAAATGCTGAAGTTTGAGAATAACTGGTTTAAGAGAGCATATCCTCTCTCAAGTTAGCTTTTGTGTTTTGTGCCCTTCTATATAATACCTAGGAAAGTATTTAAGAACTAGGCTTTTAAAGCTAACATACCTTTTCTTCATGACTTGTGTCTTGTATTCTTAAATCTAAAGTAAGGAGTATAAAAAGGAAAAAAAGAAACCAAACTCCTCATCCTTCCATCAAGCTGACCTCATCCATAAAAGATTTAATTACTGAGGGGAGGGAAAAACCAACAATATGTAGCTTTGCTTCCTTAAATAAGATGACAAAACATCTTGTAAATTCTAAAACTTTAGATGAATAGAAAGTGCGCAATTTGAAAGTCTGCTAATTTTCTCCAGAACTATGTCTAAATCCACCTTGCTAATAACATTCTCTAGTGAAATAAGTGGTGGTAATTTGTAACTAACTTCTCCAGCATCCAAGTTAGATTGAAATTTTTTACAGGAACGTTTTCACAACTTCACAGAAATTTCACTGTCTCCTTCAATTATGTCTCAAATCATTTTTTAAAAAAGGGGAGGGGGTACATAATTGAGAAAAACAGAGACTACAACCATGGCTGATGTACTTCTTATATGCTTGGGAATGAGGCTCTACAAGTAAGTTGAAAATTATGTGTTGAGTCTATATGTTTTATTTACCAAGCTTTTTGGGAGATATTTGATGGCCTTTTAATTAACTACCCATTTTCTCATAATATAATTTTAGTTGACAGATAACAAATGAAGTTCACTTAAAAAACAGAATACGAATGCTAGACAAGATCTTTCTTTACTCTCTGTTATGTAAAAACAGAGATGTATTATAAAGTATACTTGATTAGCAGAACTACAATCTTCCAATAGGATCACACTAAAATGTGTCCTGGACTTAGATAACTGGTTTTACCTGCTGGATCCCTCACTGGTTCCCAGTGCAAGTCATTGTCTTTTTCCCTAATCCATCCACAAAGCCCATGGTCAAAATTACAGCTGTGTATCAGGACACCTGCGAGGAAATGACCAGAAAGATGTGTAAACCACAAACCAACAACTAACAACAGAAATGCACTTGTTAACAAAGTTATCTGTGCAACAAGTATTCTCTCCTATCCACACTTAACTAACTCACCAGAGCTCTCTAGGAGATCAAAAGAAAATACATGAATCCTTTCTCAACACAATTGTGTGCTCAGCTTTAAAAATAGAACACACAAATGCTGCCAAATTATGACCTTGTTACATCACTTGTAAAATATGATTTCCTTCTCATAGTTTAAATGCTGCTTTAATATACTTTTTTAAAGAAGATAACGACTGTTTTTGCTCAACTGATTTAAAGAGAAAACCAAGTTGTAAAAAAAAAATCTATAATTTTTCCAGATGTAACTAAATAATCTACAATTTAAGTTATTTTCACAAAATGAAGGGAAACCATAAAATGTCATTATAATGGTACTAAGAATATAAGTATCTCACCTGGATCATCCTTTGCTTCATCGTCTGCACTGACTCCTCTTTCAATTTCGAATATTTCAAACAAGTCATTTGAAGGCTGCCGTGGAACTATAAGAGAAAGACGTTTTGTTTTGTTTTGATGAGGTGCTGACAGAGGTCATGCTGCTTTAACAAGGGGTAAGGGGCAAGACCTGGACACTCACTCATTTGGAAGAATCCAAAATATGAAGATTCATAAAGTTTGTTCTGCAGTGATTTATACTGAAACAGTTCGCCGGGTACAAATAATAAATGGTTTTCAAAAGTTTCTAAAGTTCAACATAAAAAAATACATAGAAAGCTCTTCACTTGGAAAACACATTTTAAAAGAGCTACCAATTTCTAGTAAAATATGCATCTCTATGAAATTCAAAAATTTATCTCTATAAAAGATACATTATAAACGCTAAGTTAAGGACATTTTACCTAAAAATGCCTGCAACTGCAGTGAACAAACTGGTTTGGTTTTCTAACCACAGCACCGACTACAGTGAACTCTGCACACTGGTGCACTCTAACTTGGATTTCTTACTCTGGCCTTTCTTGCTTACGCAGGTGCCCTGGCTCCTTTAAGATCAAATCCAAATGCCTTGGTGCAACATTAACAATTCCCACCCCAAAGTACACAATACTGCCCAAACATGCCATTCACTTTCTGACACCCATCCCCAGCCTGAGATGCTCTCTTCCTGATAATTAACCCACCAAATGCCCCCTCTGTGTTCCTCGCCTAGTGTAAATATCACTGCCTGGGTGAACATTTTCATGCCCCAGGCAAATTAAATTCTTCCCCCTGTAGTCCCTGAAGGCTAGTTTCCACACCTCTATTCCACTCTTTCATAAAGAACTGCAGCTATTTACACACATGTGTGTATCTGTCTCTCTGCTTAGCCTCTGAGGTCCCGGAGGGCATCAATCATGTCTTGTTCATGTGGCATTTCCAGGGCGTGACCTGGTGACAGTCACTCAGTATTCACTGAATGAATGTGAAGATCTTAAGAAACCCTTGCACTTTGTCAAGCCTTTTCCTCCATGAAACAAGTGAGACAGCGCTTAATCCACTTTTTAAAAAATGGATTCATTTAAATCACTAATTATTAATTCATTTAATGTGTATTTGATTGCCACCCATATGCCAAGCACTGTGGAAGCCAGAGGAGACAGGGTGAAAGGGGTAAACAAGACCAACAAGGACCTGCCTGGCCCTCATGGACTCTGCACCCTAATGAGACAGACATTAAACATGAAGATCAATGAACGTGATGATTCTGAATGCTGATAAGGGCCAGGAATGAAAACACCAGATAATAACATTGAGGGTGACTAGGGTGGGAATGGTGGTGGTGTAGAGTTCTTGGCCAAAGCCCAGGATACTCCCTCTTCTTTGACAGAATTTAATTAGCTCTATTTTCATAAGGCAGGGAGTAAAAGGTGTAGAACACCAAGGAGCAGACATTAGTCAAAGGGTTCTTTTTCAATGATGCTTGTTATTTTTAGTAATTTTTTAAAATTAACAATCCCATAATTGCATTTTTTTAGCTTATGGCTTTGAAGTTATTACCTTTTCCTTTTATACCAAAAATGACTGACAGTGGTGACATCCAATTACAGCTTTCCTTTCCTTGTTTGGAGCTCTGAGACGATGACTGCCTCTTATCTACTAGTGATAATATAAAGCTATAGGCAAGGATGCTTCATTTCTTGTGACAAAGTTAGAAAAATTTTATAGAACTATTTTTTGTTCCCTTATCTTGTAACTTATACAAATTACCTTGGGATTGGAATGGCTCAAATCTTATGGTACCATGTTCTAGGGGCATTATGATAATTTGTCAGCTTTTTCTTTCCAGATAAAAGACTGTCAGATGGCAAAGAGTCTTGGTGTAGGTGGGGAGAATCATCCCAATGTTTCCTGGTACATGGGGACCTGTTTTACGAAGGGAGATCAAGGAGATCCTCTCTGAAGAAGCACCATTGAGACAGAGAGGGGAAGGACACAGACCCTTCCAAGTGGAGTGTCAGGCGAGAGAAGAGGTGCATTTCAGGCCTCTCATATAAAGAAAGTGCTCAGAACAGTTAGAGAAAGGCATTCAGAGAGACCGGAGGATGCGGAGAAATAGCAAAAGCGGCCTGGGATGAGGAAAAAGAGAAAGAAAGAGATAATACACATTTGGAAAATAGCGACCCAAAGAATCAGTCATTTAACACCTTGCAAAGTGTCAGATGATTCATTAGTATTTTAGGTACTGGGTTTCCAAGAACTATTTAATTAAGCAGATGATTAATATGCCTTCATTGCAATTCATTGGGAAACACTCCAAGAAATGAAGAGACCTGAAATGCTCAGCAGCCATTCTTACAATTGGGTGTGCCCTACGCTGTTACTCCGCCATTTTAGTTAACTCTCCTTCCTCCCACATACCAGTACAGATCACTAACAGCGACCCACTGAAGTGACAAAAGAAGGTGTACTACCTACTCCCTGATATATTTATTTACGGGAAGATATTAAGCAAAATAAGTACTGGAAGAAATCTTTTCAGCAGTATGATCTCAACTACGCACAAGAGAAACGAACAAAAAAAATCAGACTAGAAAAAAGAATGGTAAGAAATATACCAATATGCCAATAGTGGTAGTCTGAAAATTGGAAATGAAAGTGATGTTTTCTTGGTTTGTTTTGTCTGTTGTAATTCTATATTTTTAAGATTGTTTATAGAAATAATTTCTATTATAGAAAAACTTACCTAAAGCATTGAAAGAAAAGAGTTCTCTCAGAACCCATATACAGACCTTGCCCCATAGCAACTATGTCTGTTATTTGTGTTTTGACTGTGCGAAGAGAGTTCTGAAAACAGGTTTGATACCTGCTGTTAAATATGAGGCTATGAAGTTGAAATATATTTGTGTAATTTGAGCATATTCTTTGATCCACAGAGCTATTTTAAACAATACAGAAAATATTAAATAAATAACTAGCTTTGCCTGAAAGTAGTGTAACTAGGATAGACGCTGATATATGACTTTTCTAATTATCCTTCCCTTCCCCGAATCATAGTTTGGCTAATAGTTGACTTAAATACATGATATATACATTTTTTGTAAAAACGAATACAAATCAACTATCCTTTGTAGTTGGATCATTCTTAGAATAGCATAATTTTAGAGATGAAAACAAGGGTAAGAGAATTTGAACCACACAATTCCTCTGCCATTTTTCCATCTTTCCTTCCTCTATTCCATCCACGTACTAATGAAATCAAACAAGAAAGTGAGCATCCACTGGGTACCAGGCTAAGAGCTGGTCATGAAGCAATGAGCATCCTCTTGCCTTCATGGGATCTACATTTCAGAGTTGAAGACAGACATCGAACAATTTGCCCAGGTAATGAATGCTTTAAAAGAGAGGTAGAGGAAGCTATGTGAGCATGGAGGTGAGGAGAAAGGGGGCAGGCTAAGTTTAGTCAGGGGAGGGTGGATACCCGAAAATCTGAGAGGTGATGCTTACAGCATGATGTGAAGGATAACTTACTGAGAGCTGGCACCCTAGAGAATGAAGGGACGTGGGGCTGAAGCCTCATTATAGCTATAGTGCTCACAGGGGAAGAAGGGCCCCAAATGAAGCTGAAGAGGCGGGCAGACGGTCCAGGGCCTTTTACAGCCCTGTAAAGATTTTGGACTTTATTCTAGTAGAAACTGGGAGCCTCCAAAAGATTTTAACAGAGGAGTGCCAAGATGAGGTACACCATTCTGGCTGCAGCACAGAGAATGAACAGGAGGGAGTGCGTGTCAGAGGACAGTTATGACCAACAGTAACTAAAAAAAAAATGTTTATATAGTCTTAAAAGAATTTATTTCCTAAAAATTTTTCTTCCATTGGTCAATATTTCACCTACAAAATATATATTTCTTGCTCATGGCTTCTTAGAACCTTCTGCACGAATTAAAAGAAAGAGAATGTACAGGCACTGAAGCAAGCAGCCAGCCAAATAAAAACGTGGTTAGCTTAGGTTTAGGGGCCCTAAATGCTTTCCTAGCATCTGGAGAACCCTGAGGCCTGTGAGAAGAATCAGCCACACTGATAAGCAGGAAACTTCCTAAAAAGAAAGTCTGGCCCAGCACTTTCTATTAAATATATTTTCCCCAGAAATATGATAATATATGACCAGAGTTCATAAACGAGGTTTCCCAAATAGTCATTGTATATTTTACCCAAAAAGCACTAAGAGTAGCACAGTGAAGTAAATGTAAATATTATCATATGCACTGCCCACCGCCAGCCCTCTTCCAAAGAGTAACTATAGCAAAGTGTAAGTGCTATTTATTAAAGGTAGGTTTGCAAATTCTGTGTCTGTTCTCGCGTGGCTCCCATGACATGACCCAGGCCAGTTCTAGCATTTGTTAGACTAAAGGTTAAAGATAACAATGTCTCAAATTCTTTCCATGCTTAGAGATTTAGTTCATCAAAAGAGAATGGTACACAGGTAACCTTCCTAATATTCCGAAGGCTCTTTCTGGTGGCAAAACGTAGGGATTTGTAGACGACAGCGTGGGTGAAGGACAAGGGCTTGGGGAAGCAGTCTTGTCTGTCCTCCTCTCCTTCCTTTTTCTCCTCTTCCACCC